CGTCATCGGCTGCACGCGTTGTGAGTCCCCCCTGCGTCCTCAGCTAGCTTTCAAAAATGATAAAATGATGGGTGGGATGGTGGTGGAGGGCGTTAGTTACCGACACCCTCTTCCACCCTTGACGTTGTTGGAGGTGCGGGACGTCTCCAGGAAATTCGACTGATTCAATCCCAGGTTGGCTGCCCTCGAAATACATAGACAAAGGAAGGTGGATGGATAGTATCTGGCTCGTTCTTTTCAAGACACAAAACAGTTCCGCAACGCGGAATCAAGCAATTCCGTAAACACGTAACCTGCGTAGACCTAACTCGAAAGCAAGCAGATTATTATTAGATCAACAAGAAAACACTTTGTCGACTAAAACACGAAGTGCTCCAAAAAATACTCGAGGCGTACATACATACATTCGTACATGCACACAAGAGAAGATGAACCCGTACATCCTGCATCTCCTATCTATCAAGCGGCCGACGTTCCGGTTCGTCGTGGTCGTTTTTTTTTTTCCTCGCCCACCAGATCATCTCCCCCGCCCACGCCCGGGAGCTGTGACAAGAAGGCTGTGCAAAAAAAACATTCCACCGATAAAAAACCTCGTTACCAGACAATCCACGTCGTCACTAAAGACTTGATAATCAAATACAACCGGTTGCGTCCCCCCGTACAATGCATCGTATGCATACACAACCCTTTTGTTTTAGACCGCGCCGAGCAAGAAAAATCTAGACTAGACACGTAACTTCTGAAAAGCTGCTTGAGCTTTACGTGTACTACTATGCTACGGGCTCATTCCACATCCATCCGTCAAGGAAGCCAGCAACCGTTCGCACGAACGAAAACACCCCAAGTAAGTCTGCCTATTGTATGCATATCACGCGAATAAAAAAATATTGCTCTGCTCCTGGAGAAGGCGAAGAAACCAATATTTTGGTAGAGCTTCAGTCCAGAAGGTGTGCCCGACAACCAACCGCACCAGCACGTCAAAAAAAACAAAAACTCCCACACAAATGCAATCACTCGGTTCAAGCAAGACCTGGCAGCGACAGGAATCATTGGATTCGCGCTCGAGGTGACAAAACCTCGATGCGACAAGACGATTGATAATAAAACACAAACAAACAAAAAGACAGGCCAACGGCGACAACAAACTCCAAACAACGACAGATCATCAAACCATTAACCGTCGTGTATGCAGCAGCAGTATTTAGTACGGTCCACTGCAATACTCGAACGCGCCACCACCTAAGCACTCAGCAGATTAACTTTAGCCTAAAAAAATATAATAATCTAAAAACTTGGCCATAAGAACACGTGCGTGCTCCGTCCTACACAAAAAACCTAGTGGTATAAGATAGTCGCCGTCGGGGTACAGTACTGTACCCCAGAAGATAAAATAACAAACGAGCCTCGTCCAAAACAAAGAAGAAGGAGGTTCTTAAGCGGTGGCGCCTTCTGCAACACGGAAAACACCCCTTCCCCTCACCGCATTGCCGGCCCCTTACAGCAGTAGCACACCCAATTCAATGTGGGGTACACGGACAAAGAAAGGCGACTGCAACCCGGCCGTCTGTGCCTACCTGTCTGTGCACATGAGACACCGTACACCACGTGTCTGTGAGGTACGACGTACCACACGGGGACGTTGTGAAAAACCACACGCACGCACATCTTCACTAAGGGCTGCTCTTATTGCCCTCTGTCTGCCGTTCGTTCTATATTGTATCCGTTCATACTGTAAACCTTCCACCCAAAACGAAAAACCAAAAACCAAAAAACAACACACTTTGTTGCGGTCGCGCCCCCATGCCCTAACAGCAGTTTTACAGCTCCATGCCACAGGAACCAACCCCACATAAACAGTAGGTAAAACACAAGACCGAAACATTACGACGCAATTCACATCGCCAGGTTCGGTCTTTCGACAAAAAAAAAGACAAGTACTGTGCCCTTGGGAAATAAATCGAGGACGCTTCGCGGTGGTGGCACGAGTTTCATTCCCAGAGCATGAACAACAAATGACCTCACTGGATGCATGCAGCGGACGGGTTGCCAAAACACAACTACGCATAGTATACATGTTAATCCTCTTTTGCTTGGCCTACCATATACAAACGCACACGACACAGGACCACAGGACGACGCCCCCCCCAAAACGGAACACGCACACTACGCACATGATACATACCGCGGGCCAGAAACATTAAAAAAAAAACGGAACACACACACCACGCAAATGATGCTTACCGCGGGCCAGAAACATAAAAAACTACTGTCAGATCAAGTAATAGGGCGGCACAAGACTGTTGTCACGCCCCCCGCACAAAGTAGCTCACGCGGTGGAACCAAATTTCAAAACGCTAATACGGTCATCACCGGGGGGTGTTTTTTCTTGTTATATCGTACCATATACGCTACCACACACGCAAACAAGACATCCCCTAGCCGTACCACACCAAATGGCGTTACGCACACTGGACTGCACACTCACACACAAACGACAAAAATAACTGAACGTGTCGTCGCGAAAATGAACCGGTTCAGACCCTACTAAGGGGCGCGCCCAACGGACAGGCTGCACACCGTTTCAACAGTAGGCTGCTGCGGCGGTCTCGAATTCGCTCGAATCGGAGGTCCATCCATCTCTCCAAGCAGTTCCGTTGCTATTGTGTCATGTATCATTATCTGTATTTACATTCTTTCATTTACAGCCCGACGGGAGCTAGGCGGAGATCGCCAGCAAAGCCAAAAGAGGGCCAAAACGAGAGCAGTTTCGAAGGTTGAGTGATTCTACACTCCGTGTCTCCTCTAGGCTTGGCAATTGCCACAACACAAAAATGTTTGTCACTGCAGCGGTGCAGCGGCAAATGACAAACGATCTCGTCTCTCTACAGCGACTTTTCATGGAGGTGGCGAGTCAACTGCAAACGAAAAACGCCCACCCAAAACTTTCCGGGATGCGTGGACAAAACAACGAGCTTGTTTTTTCCAAGCAGCATCCCCACCGCCGTTCTTCAAACTTCGTGCGACGGCGCCACACCCTCTTGCTTCTCGTCCCCTTCTTCTGAGGCCGAAGCAGCCCAAGACCTCCTGACATCGTCTTCACCCTCTTTGCACCCCGGGGATGCAGCCGTATCCTTGCCTGCACTGGTACCGTCACCATCACCATCGCCTCCACCGCCCCCAGACTCGTACGCCGGCCACCTCGCCTCTTCCACAGCCTGCACGGCCAGCGTGCCAGCGATCGTGCCGCTACCACCGGCACTCGCTCCGCCACGGCTACTCCCCCCCCCCCCGGTCTCCACATCCACGGGGCCGCTGCCGTCACCAGCAGGGACTGCTGCCACTACTGCAGCGGTGTCCACGGCAGCCATGATGGATTCCATGCTAATGTCCGCGGTGCCGGGGCTCGGGAGAGCGGGGCCGGTGGTACCGTCGCCTAGCCCCCCCGGGTTGCGGCGGGACTTCCTGATCGAGTCATCGGAGGATGATTCGCCGGGGGGCCCGGGTAGCGGCCTCAGCTCGCCCTTCGCGGGGGGAAGATTCTCGCTGATCTTTGCCTTGAACGGGACCACGAGCGCGGTGCCCAGGGCGATCTTGCCGCCCATGGCGAGGAGGGAGATCACCTAAACAGCGAGAGTAGAGGAGAAATCGGCAGCAGCAGAAAGGGCAAGGGTAGGGTACCGGTTACAGACAGTGACCACCAAAAGGAAGGACAGGTGACGATGCATGACAATGACGGCATGCCGCCGATTGCGGAGCAATCGGGAAAAAGCCTTGAGATGCACCAAGGCAACCAATTACAATGCAGACAACAAATAACATGTCGTCGCCATTTTATATTCTACGACACATCGTGCGGCTGACATGCTTCGCGCGTTCCCATTCCCCCGTCTCTCACCGAAAATACCCTTCGGGTTAGGTCGGACGCCCTCGTCTCATCCGCGTGCGGCAACGCGTTCCCCACCGCAAGGAAACACGCCGTCTCAACGCACGTGAAGAAACACGACACCTTGTACGCCTTCACCCTGTCGATGACGCTGTCCATTATCGGAGCCGCGGCGAAGCGGATCAGCTTGCGGAACCGCAGCTTCTCGCGCACCACCGAGTCCCCGATGGAAACGCAGGCGATGAACGTCCGACTCAGCCACAGCCACGCCAGCAGGCAGAAGAAGTAGTAACCCAGGGGCATGGCGATCACCCCTAGCGACAACACCCTGCTGATGATCTCCATCAGCTGGTAGAGGAGAAACCACCAGACGAAGTCTTGCGGGTGCAGTTGGAAGCCCATGCGGACGCACACGCTGCCGGCGAAGGGGACCGTTCCGAAGAACATGCTCGAAGCGAGCGGGAGCTTCGCGGTGGGGTACTTGACCCCCCTCGACCACCTGTTGTTGAGAATGGTCGTGCGTGCGGGGAGCGAACACACAAGACAAAGACAGTTTGATTTTGTCGATCGCAGGGTCAACCGTCTCCTCTCCTTTGCAACGCAACAGCGGGTCGCTCCCCGACGTCTTGTTCAGCCGCAGACAAAATGCGAGTCACCATCACCTTTGTTCGAAGTGGAGCAGCAGCAGCAGGACTGCTGTACTTACCCAGCATTTTCCGTGATACAACACCTGTCCCTTTCTTTTACGAAGCACAATGCTGACAGCGTGGCACCACAGCCCATAATGATAGCACACCACAGCAGTCTTGTATTTATTTAGCCTTGCTTACCGAAGCTGTGACAGGGGATGCTCCGCCACGATCCCCGTGCTCGCAACGGCGAGCGAGAGCGTCGACACCATCACGGAGACCACCCGTAGCGCCAAGCACTCCTCGCTCACCAGCAGCACATGGGTCTGCAGCAGCAGCATCGGCAGCGACTGGAACAGGGGCTCCAGCACCCTCAGCGCCACGAGGGCGTGCGAGTACGACTCCTCCTTCACCGAGATCAGGCCCTCCACGATCAGTCCCAGCTGCGTCGCCGCGGCTATCCCTCTCCCGACCGTCTTCTCCCTCAGCACGTACGCCCCGGCGCACAGCGCCGGCCCGGTGATGAACGCGACGCCGATGGCAAACCAAAGCGTAAGCCCGGACCTCCAGTAGGATAGCACGGTGGCGAGGTCGGTGAAGAGGTCGAGGTATCCCAAGACCAGGGCCGGGATAAGGGAGCGTTTCGAGCGCCAGGGGGGGATGGGGGCCCCGTGCTCTGGGACGGCGAAGACGAAGCGGCGGAAGTTTCGGTGGTTCCGGAGGGAGAGGGGGATCCCTCCGCCTGAACGGACCAGGGAATGGGCGGCACGGACGGATGGACGAGGGATCGGACACAAGGACGAAGGTCGGGTGAGGGCGAGCGATGGCCGAATGATGTGGTCAGGCGGTGTGCCCCTGCGGCAGGAAAGCAGCGGCGGCAGTCGTAGTCTAGCTCGACAAAACAACTAAAGCCTCCCTCGAACAGGCGATATTGCTGTGAAACTGAAGAAAAGGGTTGGTATGTGTGGTAAGAAAAGGCTCTACGCACGAAATAACCAAGAACATACTTCTGGTGTTACTGCGTACAACATGTATACAGAGCACAACAGATACCCAAATCAATCTACATAGGCTCAGTACCTCTCTTGCGGATACAGTCTAAAACCGTTACATTCAGGCCAAGAGGAACCACGCATCCAAAAAAGTGCGGGACGCCAGAAAAACAAAACAGAGAGAAGAAAGAAAAAAAACGGGAAAAAAAAGGCAAAACACAGGCAAAAGACGCAGGCGCGAAGGCAAAGGAAGAGGCAACGGCAGCAGCAAAAAAAAAAAGAAGGGAAACGAGGCAAAACAAAAAAAAGCGGACCGCGAACGGACGGCAGCAGCCGGAAGCGAATACGACAAAGCAACGTAAGCACGAGCACGAACCGCACGCACACATTCTAGTCTTGACTGAGAACCAGATTACAAGGGCGTATGTCGGCATTGTGTGTAAATTGTGACACACGTACGTGCGAGAGCGCCGGTTTCATCTCCGATTTATTCCCAGCTAGGTGAAACACTGTCAAGAAACACGAAACTTCAGCAGATCCATCAGAGATTACGGAGATGTTGTCGTGGCGAACGAGAGAGAGCCTATACTCTGCCCTGCGATCGACAAAGAATATCAATCATTCTATCAGGCCACCTCTGATGGGCATCGACAACAGCGCTTCCCAATGACTTTTTTCAAGGCATACGATATGGCGCATCAGTGCCCCGTGGCAGTAACACCCTGCTGGGCATCTACAACATACTGCCTTAGGTTTACGGTACGGTATGCGGCGTTCACCGCGCCCGCATGTTTCCCATACAAGGAGGATAGGTGTGTGTACGCGATCATCGCAAGGCCATTTCATCATGTCCGTCGAAGGACCAAGAGAGGGATACGCAAATATCTACTAACAAAATAACGCTCTGTTCCGTTTCAACTGGTTTCAATGACGAACCCCGGACGGGCGGAGGAACCTTTACGCCAAACAGCAGTCCACTCTGAACAGAAACTTTCCGACCACGTCAAAACGGTCGGCCTGTCTCCTGGTACATTGTATCTCCAGGACCGCCGAAAACACATAATTTTCCAGCTTCTCACCGCTCATGAGCAGCGCGTTCTGCGCGACGTCAAGCTTCTCCAATAGAGCCAGCTCGCCGAGCTCCTCGGGTATGGAGCCTGGGGAACGACAGACAGCACGTTGCAGCGGTAGAATCGGTCAGCATTTGGCGTTGGGATAGAGGTAAGAGGCCAAGGATTGGAAACGGGTACTGTACGGCGGAGGCGTCAAGGCGTTAACTATACCCGGGGTTAGGGACGACAGGCGGGGGGGTGTGTAGACAACGGGAAGCCTAATTACAGAGACAAGAGAGAGCAGACACATTCCACATCCTTCAATATTGCTAATGGCATCAAGCTAGCATCAACAACGAACAGAAAACACACCCAAGAAGAGAGATCGTAGAAGAGTTGTCCGATCAAAGCAAGGCTATAGTACTTGGGGTAACTTCACGACCTGGATCGATCTCGGAGTCACTTCTTGCTTCGTGAGCTATCGCTATCTATTCGTCCCTTCTTACCGCTGAGGTTGTTCCCCCAAAGGTACAGCTTGGTCAGGTTACTCAGCTTACCGAGCCCCGCGGGAATAGGCCCTGGAGGGGTCAAGGGCAATATAACAACCATCAGGGACAAGGGTAAGGGTAGTAGGTCGAGTCTGAGGAAGTGACCAAAAGGGGGAATGATAAGGACGACACACCGAACGAGCATCCAAGTACGGACGGCATCTGGCATACAGTACCACAACGGTGGTGGGAATGCCGAAATCGGAAGAACAATTCGAGACAAAACAGAAAGAGAGAGAAGCGAAGAAAAGGCGACAATGACAAGGCACAAGGCACAAGGCTGCGACTGTGCTCACCACTGAGGCGGTTGTTGGCAAGGTTAATCTCCACGATAACCTTTAGGTTCCCAAGCTCAGGCGGAATCGGCCCTGCCGCGGAGGTGCGAAACATGAACGAGACAAGGACGTGAAACACAAAGCGAACAAACAAAGTGCCGAATTTCTGACGAGGCCCTAGCCTTGTCGTAAATGGCCTTGTCGTGAAAGCAAGAGCCGCAAGGGAGGCGCGTCCAAGTCAAACCACGGCAACACTGCTGCGCGATTGACAAATGTGTTACTTACACGTTCCTTCAAATACCACAAGTCACACGAAGGTCGCCCACGATCGAAGCCGTCTAAGAACCTATAGTAGAATCACCAACGGCAAACGTAGGACGCTGCAGGCGTGTACCAGCAACGCCCGAGCGAAACGATGAATGATGACATCATCTCGTCCCTGCGTTCTGCTCTCTTGACGATGTGCGATCGTCTAGCTCGCTGTAATTCAGCCAACTCATGCCTGGGGTACTATGCCCCCTTGACAAATACCATAACTACTAACTGCTGCTCCAGCGGAGTCTTGTCTACCATTGAGATTTTCGGTATCATGCGACTGGTTGGACGACCTAGTCATGGAAAAAGCATCACCAAAGAAATATTGGAGCATAACCCAAACACGTTTGTTGGTCTGGGAGCACTCACCGGTAAGCCGGTTGTTGATGAGGACGAGCTTCTGTAGCCTTTTGAGATCTCCGAGGGACCGCGGAATCTCACCGCTAAGCTTGTTCCCGTGAAGGTACAGCACGCGGAGGTTGCTCAGCTTTCCTAACTCCCGCGGGATCGGACCTTGAACGTGTCCATGTTGATAACGGGGTAAAATAATATGTTTTTGTTCCGAGTTAGAACTTGTCAGCAGCACACGTGTCACTTCCACTAACGTGTCCCATTTTTCTCGGGAATCCGGGCTTCTGCCTCGATTTTTGTGCGAAGGCACCTCCTACGGCCTGGCTTGGCTTCCTTGAGAAGAGCATCCTGGACAACACAGTTCCCACGACAGCACAGCTCTTGCCGGTATCAACAGGTTACAAACGCGGGGTGCCTATCCCAAAAGAAAGGTAAAACATTTGTTGTCACTACCTCAGCGTTGTTGTTCGTAGGCGGAATTCCTCTGTGTTTGGTGGCGGGTTCATATGTATGGTACGGTCTTCCGGCATTGTACGGTACGGTACGGTACGGTACGGTATGGAATAGTATGGTATGGTATGGTATGGTATGGCATGGCAGCGGTTGACTGATCACTCTCACCGGTGAGGAAGTTCCCCGAGAGATGGAGCTCTGTCAGCGCGTTTAGCTTGGCCAGGGTCTTGGGAATCGTTCCTATGCATATGCATATGCATAGGATTGGTGACATTGACGGCAAACAAAGGGCAAACAAAAGGGTTGAGGACGAAAAGCGATGAAAAACGCCAACAGTTTACTTGTACTTGTAAGCGGGATCGGGGACACGATCGAAGATAGCTCGCTCAAGCGGATATTTCTCGGGGGGCAAGAAATAAGTGCAACCCGAGACAGACTAGCCCGAGCACTGCGGGAGTAGGGTTGCCCCCCCCCCCCCGCACGCAGAAGGGACTCTATCTACGTAGCCCCCGAATCGAAATAAACTTCAGGGAGTGGGTGAGGTGGTCCGGGGATAGGTTCAATGGATACAGACAGGGTACGAAAATCATGTACATAAAACAAGAGACGAGTCCACGTATAGCCAGCCAATCAGCTTGACAGACCTACCTTCCCTCAGAGGACATGGCATGGCTACCCTAAACGGTGGTGCAGTGTCCGCGACTGATAAAGAGCTCTCGGTCTTTTGTGGAGATCTGTTACTAGTAAGCGGTGGGCCTTCTACTGCAGAGCGGGTGGCCGCTATAGGGCGAGCTAAATCTCTCGCTCTGCACAGACAGAAAATCAACCTACTTCAACAGGGCGGGTGTTCGCCATGATATCGGCCTGGCACATGGCCGCCCTATGTTCCACGACTTGCACGGCATTCACGGACAGTTGTGGTTCTGAAGGCTCGAGTTCGTTCGATCACCACGAGCTGAGCATGTACAGAAAATTCTGCACTATAATACAAACGCGCTTCTCGAGCTCTTTACTGTACCTTCTAAGAAATTGTCCCACAGATCGAGCTTCTCGAGCTCGCTGAGCTCCCCAAGCTTCGCCGGGAGCGTTCCTGTCGCAGTCGTATTATAGTCGTATTATAGTCATGGGGAGCCCAGAGTTGGAAATTGCCGTGTAAGCTACATGCACCAGGTTTCCACGTATTGTACATACATACAAGCTTGTTGTCTTGTTCCATGAATCCACAAATATGTCATTCTCAACGGAGTATGCTATCCAAGACAGGTTGGGCTCAGGGTGATGCACACCCCGTCGAGAAACGACACGCATTAATTTTTTTTCTCCTGACAAAAACGTGCCTTCCCGAATGACGTCGCCTTCCCTCCATTCAGATAATCTTCGTTAACCCGTTCTCATATCCTTCGTGAAGAGCAAGCTCAATCCCGAAATCAGGAAGTTGACTGAAGGAACTACATTAATGTTCCGAATATCGGCGGGTCAGAAAGACTTCTAACCCTGGCAGGTCACGCACTGCTGCACAGCAATCCTCCACACTGCTGTTACTCTTGTCTGAAAAGTGCGTTCGGTAGAGTAAGGTGGCCAGAATCAATCCCCCCGAAGAAAATCGAGCACAGCTGAACTCGAATCCGAGTCGAAGAATTCGTAATCACGACCGACAAAATAAATGAATAAAAAATCATTATGTCGGTAAAACAAGTAATGAAATTGGTGAAATTCTACTTGTTGCTTTCAGTCCACGCCCTCAATGCACGTGTATTATCTCCCACGTGGGAGTCCACTTGGGGGCAAGGGCTTTTCTTCACACTGCTGCACACCTCATGCCGTTGTATACATGAACATATTGACCTATGGAGGCTTCGTGAGAGTCATGACAATCCCACGACTATTGTACGCTTGAGACGCAGAACGAAGCAGCATCACTAACCTGAGATCCGATTTGTGTGCAGGATGAGCTCTTTGATAGCTTCCAGCTCGCACAACTGTCGAGGAAACACGCCTGGAAAAATTGCCGTGGGTGCGTGTGTGTGCGAAAAAAGGAGCCGAGAGAAAAACGTCAAGATGCTGCCATGAACTTTCTTGAAGTCCTCTGCCGTGTGCCAGCATTGCACGATGCGTTTCCTTCAGCGGTCACGTGTTGTCAAAACGAACTTCTTTAAGCAGTCACGTGTGTCAAAACACGTACAGGTCTCATGGCAGTTGACTGCCGCCTTCGTGTGACTCCAGAGCGGGTGAGCACTCCCGCACAAACGCATATTTAGCACGCGTGGGCCCGACAAACCATTGTCTCCGGGCTGTTGGTATGCCGAACCTAGGCAACTGCTGTAGGTACTTCAATATGGCATGTATTCTGCGCAATATGCTTTGGTGCAGATGTAAACACCAACAAAGGATATACAAGTAGTCTCTCGTTGACATTGTGGCTAGTTTCTAAAAAGGATGCAGCCAGCGGAGTATGGTGGACAAACATGCTTTGGTCGTCCATCGAATATTCCTAAAAAAATCTGAAGAACGAACCGCAGGGAAGAGTGAGTGAGAGTGTACACCAGACGCTCAAGTTGACTTCTTTTGTGTGCAAGCCCGAAAGGCTGTGCAGTCCGGCGGCCAGGCAGAAAGCCGTTGGCACGTCTTATCGAACGGTCGTGCGGCGGCACCATCATCCTTGAAGGGGGGCAAACAGAGCGCTGAACACAGGCAGGCGTGATCACCTAATGGAACATCATCTATGTATCGATTCATATATGTATATCGTGTGACCTGTGTACAGCGTGTGACGAATTTGATTATTTGGTAATCAAATCGGATTCTGTGGGGATGGCTCCAGCGATTCTTGGGCGCGAGAATGATCGATCCTCCGTCAATAATAATTTTACGAGTGCCCGGACTAATGCACACCTCGTCGTAAAGGAGACACAGGCATTTTCGAAACCTCTGACACACAACAAGAACACAAGAACGACGACAGCACCGCCGTGAAAGAGGCGGATTTGCAAAGACAGACTATTTCGCTTCTACTTCAAGCACGGGACTGGACTGCCAGAGTGTCTCAGCCTCTCCGGGCTTGAACCCGTCGAAGGACACCAGGAACCACCCGCAACGTGTGCGTACCCCGCTGGGAGGGATGAAATTGATGCGTTCAAAACTTCAAGTATTATGTAAACTAACTCTCGAAATACCCTGAGGTGTGCAGTGAACCGTACATCAGTCCACACTGACATTTTAGTTGCTTTCCATGCAGGTCCAGCTTTTCCACGCGACCTCCGTCATTGACGTGCACGCCGGTCCAGGACGAGATCGGGAGCCCTCGTGCCTCCCTCCATTGCGGCAGCGAAAACGCAAAGCGAGTGTTCCCGAGAGAGGTCCGGTCGCCTTCTGCAGAGCCAGCTGCCCAAAACCCAACACATGACAAGCAGCAACACATGGCAGACCGGGAGCACGCATTCGCATCATCCCGGATTCGAAAAATTCCCATAAAACGGCAAACGGCGGGCGCAAAGACGTAATAGAAGTGTAGACTATGCATGCCAGTGAGCCGCTTTGGGACACGCGCGGGCCGAGTCACATCATAACACTAGCTTGCATAGACAACCATCGCACTCCTGTTCCAAGGTTGTGGTATAACCCTGGCTGCGGCTACGTATCTCTTTCGCTGCTGGCGGGGCGGGCGTGTGTGTCTGGCATGTCTTACCCCGAGTTTTGGCTGCCATTGCGGTGTTGTTGTTGTTACGGCGGTCTATGGTTGATACGGGATGTGGAGCGTGTCCATGAAGATGTCGGACACGTGGACACCGCGGGTGAAGGTGTAGTCAGCAGAGAGAGAGAGTGAACAGCAGTCGTGAAGTGAGTGGCAGCTGGTAGGGGACAACACAAGTGGCGCGACAGGTCGGGGCCCGCTCGCACACCCGCTCCATTTCACCACAAAAATGCGGAGGGACTACTGCTGTTAGACGTACGTATGTACCCGTTCGGCAACCCCAGAGGGAGGGCAGGCTCGCAGGCACACCCGCACACCGCACACAGGCACACGCTTACCAGTGACATCACGCACATACAAACCAAGAGAGAGAACGAGAGAGGAGGGGGTACGGGAGAAGAGAGAGAGAGAGAGAGTGAGTGCCTACGGTTCGGTTCGTGCCGGGTCGAGATTTGCGCAAGTTCAAGGTATGGCCATGGCCCACAGGAGCAGCAGCACGGCGAGGAGCCAGGGGCACGCGACGACGAGCGGACCGCTGCCGCTACCCCCAGGTAAGCCATTGCAGCATGGCAACCCATCTAAACATCGCGCTCACCCTCTGTAATGGGGTTACACGGCCGTGTGCCAAGACATTATCTTCTCCAAGTGAATCCGTGTATGGCGCAGAGGTTCCTCTTCAAAGGAGGCGGGCGCCAGCTGCTTGTCGAACGGTGCCAGCTGCCTTCCCTTCCGTAGCTTTTGTATTACTCGGCTTCCGCTCATGAACCAGCTGTCTACATGACCGTTTGTCAGCCGTCAGTGTAGATACCGCTGTACATGGTAAGTTTCTGGTGGAATTGCACCCACCGCAGCCGTCTTTCAATTCTGTTGAAACTCAACACCTCCAGAGGGATCAATCAATCAAAGTATGAACACCTTCCTCCTCCAGGATTGCATGCATAGTTTCAGCGGAGTGGACATTTGGTGATCGCCAGCCATGTCCAGGGAACCCGGCTGACGCCGCCATCTTTGTGTTTTGGCCCTGGCGGTGACGCTACGGGCGAAAGCAGGTCTCGACCAGCCAGGACCTTGGAACAGTTCGGCACCGCCACTCTTTGTGGGTGTGGAGCAACCGATCTTTCAAATTGGTCCGGGGTGTGTGGTATCTTGTGTCACTTACGGTATTGCTGCACTCGCTGTATGCACGCACACGCCAACGGCCGTTCAGCTGGCATCACTGGTATAAATCATCAGTGTATAGACTTAGAAAGACTCGAAATAAGTCCAGTACCCAGCCGGTTTCCCTCCACTCACTGAAAAGACTCCACCACATCCCGTTCGACTCAGGGGATATCTCGAATGGGTAGTCTTTCTGTGTGTGTTTTTATTATTCCTTAATTCCAGGAGCCGTTTTTTTTTGTTGATGACTCGGATTCAAAATTCCAGATGATCGACTGCCCCGCCACCGCACAACAGCATCGCAGATACATAGACAACTGCAAGGTATTGAGTCGGCTACCCGGCGGGTCATTACCCCGCCCATTCTTACTAGGCAACAGCGACCTGTCACAGATCTACTGTTGGATGTTGTCCTTGGTTCGCTCCAGTCAGAACTGGACCCGCGTACAAGCGCAGCAGTCAGGCGCTCTGTCCCTGCACGTCAATGTTGCTCATAACTTTCTGCGCCAATGTCAAGGGCCAAGCAAGACAGGAGGATCGTCACCCAACCAATCGCTCTTGTTTCTTTCTGCTGTGTAAACATTTTCTCAAATATCTTGAATCGGCCCAGATGCTGATTTCGCACTGCATGAATTGATGATATCGCCCGGGTCAGCCACAGCAGTAGTCGCTGCAAAGGTGCATTTTGTTTCGGAACCCGCGCCCCTCACGGAATATCCTGACAAAGAGGAAAATCGCACGCCGAACCGGTAGACCATTTCTCCGTTGAGCGTTTCCACCACAGATGTCCACCGAGGGAGGGCTCCTAGACAGCGATCGTGTATTGTAGTTGTTGTCCAAAGTCCTAAACTCTAGAGCGCTCTGCTCTCCTCGTTGACGCTCTGTTCGATCTCTGCAGGTTCTGGCCGATGTCTGGATGCGTTTGAGGTCGCTCTCTACCAGGCAAGCAATGGGAAGCGATGGTACACGTCGACACAACAACTACAGCTCGCTTCGTTGGGATTTTGTGCGGCCTGCCGCAGCGTGTCACAGCTGCGCGTGAACGTGGAACCCTGCACGCCAAGGCGTCTATGGGCCGGTGTTGCCATCACTGGTGAGGCGGGTGGTGCGAAGAGACGCAGTGTTCCGCGCGTGCCGATCTTAAGAGCGCGTGAGATAGCGTGGGACCTGCCGGGTTCGGCGTTGGACGACATCAACGGTGATGCCTTGTCAAGGGTGTAACATTTTGTTTTCAGCCACGAGTTCAACCACGATGTGAGCCGGGTCGAATGGCCCCCGAACCTGAGGAGCATTAGGTTTGGTCTGTGCTTCAACCAGTCTGTCGAGCACCTGTCTCTGCCTGCGTCCATGCGATCGATATCCTTCGATATGTCCTTCGAGCACTCGCTCAGCCAATTGGAGTGGCCTGCAATGCTGCAGGAAATCACTTTGTCTTGCGATTTCAAGGAAGACTTGAAGGATATTGTATGGCCTACTTCGCTGCGAAAGCTGCGTTTGTACGGTGCCCTCCAAAAGCCGCTGGGTAAGGTCCCGTGGCCAGCATCGCTGCACGAACTAGTGCTTGGTCGCATGAGCAAGGAGCCGATGGATGGAGCTTCGTTGCCGGAGTCGCTGAAACATCTAACTATTCTCAGCGGCTTCAATCAGCCAATAGGCAACGTCGAGTGGCCTGGCTCGCTGGAATACATGGATTTTGGGCAGGATTTCAACCAGCCAATAGAGGGGGCTGCTTTGCCCAGGTCGTTGCTGTCACTGACCTTGAGAAGTTCTTTGAACCAGCACATCGACAAGGTATCGTGGCCGACGTCGTTGCAACATCTGACCTTCAATGGTGACTTCAAGCATCTTGCCGGCAAGATAGCATGGCCGCGTTCGTTGCTACAGATGACCCTCTGGGGTGGGTTTCAGCAGCGAGTGGACGAAGTCGTGTTGCCGGCATCGTTGCTCAAGCTAAGTTTTGGGAGGAGGTTCAACCAGCAAATAGACAAGGTTGTGTGGCCGCCATCGTTACGTCAGCTGGACTTTGGTGTGGAGTTCAACCAGCCCATGGACAAGGTCACTCTCCCGGCATCGCTACTCCAGCTGGACTTTGGTATGGAGTTTAATCATCCCGTTGACAGGGTTCGATGGCCGGTGTCCTTGCAGAAGCTAGCGTTTGGGCGGGACTTCAACCAGCCCGTTGGCAAGGTCACTTTGCCGGCATCGCTACTCCAGCTGACTTTTGGAAAGAACTTCAACCAGCCAATTGACATGCTTCGATGGCCGGCGTCCCTGCAAGAGCTCACGTTTGGCCGCAGCGATGGCTCCATGTGGGACCACAAAAAAATGACGCCCTACATCCAGCACTTCTTTGGTCTTGGCTCTAACTTTAACCAGCCCATAACTGGAGTCTTGTGGCCGGCTTCGCTTGTGAAGATCACATTTGGGCAGTGCTTCAACCAACCGATAACGGGAGCCTTGTGGCCGGCTTCGCTTCGGCACCTCGCCTTCAGCCGGGATTTCCAGTTGCCGAGTGAGACCTTCGAATGGCCGGCGTCTCTGCAGCAGGTGACGATCGCTTGCCGGCCTGACCAAGCACTACCATCGTGGCAAGGTGTGGAAGTCTTCGGGGTATGGAGAGCATACTGGCCCCATCGAGAGGAAACTGATAAACTACAGTAACTTATGGTTTCCTTCCATCCTACGGAGTTGGCAGCCAAGCGTGGCCCTCTCCAGGGTAGTGTAGGTAGGCGTCAGTTCTTGTTATTTCGTCTTGTTCTTGTCCTTGTAGGCAGGCTGGTTGGCATTCGCCATGTCGATGACGAGAGGGGTGGATCGTAGTCGAAGCCAATATTGATCCCTTCTATCCTGCGGAGTTGCAGGGCTTGTGAAGCGTGGCCTAATTCCCGCCACTGCTGTCAGTAGCCGTCAGTTCCTTGGGTGTATATGAACGAGGAAGTGCCGAGCTACTCTAGCGTTGCTTGACGAGCGTGTGCTTAAGGTGAGAGTGAGCTTGAGAGGGAACCCTCGTGAACCCCATTTCAAGGTCAGGACCCACCTCGTATAGGTTAAGGGGACGTAGGCGTTTTGCCAAGGACCCTTTGTGGCTTTACTGGTTTGCATGTGTGCTCGGAATGTAAAGGGAATATTTGCATCCACAAGCACAACTGACTGCGCAAGTGCGGTGTACCGCATTATGCTAGCCCGGGGATAGCCCCGGCCTCAACGCAAGCCTTTTTTATTTTGGCTAGGCAGGGAGCAAGATAGACAAGAGTATAGGGGCTTGGCAAGGGGGGGCGGGAGAACGAGTGCAAGTGTACTATATGATGGGTGAGAGCTATTTGAAGAGTTATATAGGAGCTGTTTGGAGAGTCACAGAATGTTTGTTGTGTGAGTTGGTACAATGGCACCGAAGAGCTATATATGTATCGGTTGGTAAATGTATGCTAGCGAAGAGATTGTACCGCGTTGAGAGGACAAGGATGGCAGAGCCTCACGTGGCTCACCCCCCAACTTTCCACCTCCTCAGACCTTTGAAACTGAGTTAGGCTTCGGTGCCAGCGCAGGCCTTAATGAACGTTCCGGTGAGGAAACAGTAACAACATCTTCGTTCCGCACTAGCTTAGTCGCATTCGCACGCCGCGCGACCCTTGGGCTCCAAGCAAAAACTCGACCCACATTTGTACACAAATTTGTCGGCTTAATCCTTGCTTGGATGTGTTGGTTGAGTAGGAGCATTGGTAGGATGGTGTGGTCGATGGTGGATGGTGGCGTCTGTCCTTGACGGTGTGCAGAGGCTCGAAGAGTGACTTGTCCAGTAGTACACTTGTGTGGGAAGAAGATACTGTAGTCGAAAATAAGGCTTGTACGCGCTCAATGAAGGACAGGCGGGAGAGTCGCGACACTCTTCCCAGACAGTCGTTTTTTTCCGCGGCGAAAAACTCATGCCCTGTGGTTCTTTAGAAAACTCGCCATGTTCCAAAAATGAGGACGTTGGCGCTTCGCGCAATATTTAGCATTGGAAACACATGCATGCGTAGAGCCTCGCACCGCAGCTCTTTTCTCAATGTCAACAGACAGCAGTAGTAGTACCGTCGAGCACAGAAATTATGTTTTGGTTTATGGTATGCATACGTCCGTCATTCCAGTTGTCATGTTTTCGGAACGCTGGATAAGGTGCTTCTCGATTGAGTGTGAATCGTGCTAAATACGATTTTGTCACCACTGAATTTATCCTGCTGGTGATGAACGGGTTTCAGAGATGACACACAAAACAAGGGACTGACACCGGTCTCTTTGTCTATTGTTCCTACTACCGAAGTAGACCAAACGCCACCTAGCCACGAGTGGTGCAGCGAAACCTCATTCCCAACGACGATTTCCTCTTCATTCCAACCAAAGGCCTACTATTGTAGTTTGTTCAACCCTGCCCAGTCAAGCAGCGTGGCTTTAAACAAACTCACGCTTACAGCCACACGAAGAGCCGCTCACGGAATTTACAGCGGTGGGAAAGGAGGCGGGGGCTTGCGCTTCTGAGCTGACGCGATAGCTGCAGGGATATCGCCGGTCTGAAGCATCACAGAGCTCCAGAGCGCCTTGACCAATATTTAGACATGGCGGCGGTCGTCATTGTTCATGGGTGGCACGTGAGATGAAAACAGAGAGATTGGGAGGAGATGCAACGCAACAAGGACAAAAAAACGTGTGAGAGAGACAGGATAGAACGACGTAGGCCGAGAGAAGTGAAACAGAGGCAGAGGAGCGAAGAGAGCGGGCACGGAGGGCAAGGGGAGGCACTAACGAAAGAAAATAAATACAGGACAAAATGGAGCATCGAAGAGAAGAAAGTACAAGATAGGCAAGCACGGACACAAATCCCAACTTCTTACGCGGGGTACAAGCAACACGAAGAATGATGTCACTGCAGTACCTGGTGCTGCAGCGCCTGAGCAACGGTGTGGTCTCGGGCGTAGTTGAGGTTGATCTTGCTGCCCTGCATGGCCACGGGACTGCGGGCAGCAATGTGGGAGCCTAGCTCTACAGCGTGCTCCATTAGCGCTTGCCTGTGGAACGAGCGTCCGACAACATATACCACGGCGGCGGTTTTACAATTATTTCGGCCAGCACAGTGCCTGCTCTCTCCACTGCTCTTGCTTGGAATGCACCACGCGACCATGCTATTCGCATGTGCTGCCCACTTACTTGTCATCATGAACCGCGCTGAGAAACCCCGCCTGTAAAGCTTCTGTGGCCGGAAACCTGCCGCGCCAAGGGTGCAGAGGCGAATTCATAGCTGGTACATTGTGCATGTCAGGAATGGGGTGCAACGTTTGATGGGGCATACACATATATATTTGCAAGAAAATCTTGAGCCCAGGTAGATGGCGAGCAGAAGGGGGAGAAGGCTTGACGCCAGAACCACACATGACATCCTGTCTGCCAACCGTGATTCATCGTCGCTTGTTGAAGGCAGTACAGCTGGCAAACGATTTCTTCCAGTGTTGGCCTGGCCTACTTACTTTCTCGCCGTGAAGACCAGCTCCCTCGCCAAGGACTCGCTTCCGATGAGCTTCGGCAGTCTTTGCAGCGTGCCGAGGTCGGCGCAGAGTCCAATATCAACCTGGCGGCGCCGAAATATGGTCAAGAGCAGGGTTGAACAGCTTGCGATTGGAATGTAGGCTCGCTCAAGACGCCCAGCATTGCATTGAAAATAGAAAAATAACGACGTGGGAGGACGTCACCTAACACGCAAGCAGCATCCCGCCGAAAATTCTACAGCACAAGGCCATTGGGATATTCAAACCAATCAGCCGATGTGTATCTCTCCCCCGGGGAGCATGTACTCGTGAGATAATGCGACGCACAACGGCCCATTGCGGCGTCCATTGGACGGTAAAAAAAGACGAGCACGGCGGGTGAGCGCTACAACTGTCGCGCGCTGCACAGGTGGCGGGTTGGTAGTGCGTAGAGCTACGACGCTCAGTATCGTGCGGCGAAGGTTGCACCTTCGGTTTGTGATTATCGGGTCCCAACTCTACAAGTTAAGTTCAACAGGCGGCACAAGATCTACCTGGCTCCGTCTTCGCGCGTCTTGTGGGTAACTGCTGTGTACGTTGGTGTTCTACTCTCAAAACCTCACCTCTTTGATGGAAAACCAGGCGTCTGACGAAGCCAAGCGAATGTCAGTCGCGCACACAAGGTCGACACCTCCTCCGATGCAAGCCGAGTGTACCGCGCAGATAACCGGTTTTGGGCATCTGACACAGATTAAGAAGAGGACAATCAAACTGCCGTTACAAGGTTTAGGGTGGAATTGTGCCCTTCCTTCCCAAGTGATCGTTGCCTTCCTACTTAACATAATAAAAACAGAATGATGTGATTTTCCGCAGCGTCAGCACCTTTCAATGTAGTATTATCCCAACGAATGAATCAGGTTCGGGTTGGCCTGGCTTAGGAAACGCAAATGTTTCCTCGACAAAAAAACGGCATCATGTGTGTACCGGTCGAGAGACGCCAAGCTGTCCTGCATTCCGCTGACGAATCGTGCGATCTGGACAGACTTCCGCGCCGGGTCTCTGGTGACGTCACCGGCTGGCGCCGGGGTGGTCATTTCCATGAACGTCTGGGCGTGTTCCTCAAGATCCAGACCAGAAGAAAACACCTTCCCTGAGAGGTGGGTCACCGAAAACGACGAACGCACACGCTATGGTTTTGAAACGCTTTCAGGCCTGCAGCCTTGCGGAATCTTCAGCACTACCATTGTTGCGGAAGAGAGCGCGTCGTAGCTGGTCCCCTCCACTCACCGAAAGGACTTGAACACCTCCCTTTCGACTGTGGTTATTTAGACTATATCGCGAACGGGTAGTATATTTCGTATTTCTTCTGTGTGTGCTTCTATATGTATTTTCAAAAAAACGAGGAGGTCGTGAGTTGCTAGACATTTCAGCGAACAGCCGAGGACTTACAGCACTATGGAGTCATTTGCTAGTCCTTAACATTTTATGTAAGGGCACAAGTGAGTCTGCAGTGTTTCATCGAAAAAACAACGAACAAAATCAGTCAAAACACGAGTTGATGTTGAAGTTGCAAAGCGCTCCCCTGCCATTGGAACGCTCGAAACATCAAACTTCTACCGCTGCACGCTCCGTTTGTCAGCCAAATGGATGTCTATTCGGACTCAATAACGTGCCTCTATATCACGTGGGGCAGTCGATAGAGAAACATTTCTTCGGCTTTCCGTCTCAGATGACCCCCACTGCTGCTGTACCCGAACGAGATTGCACCGCACCTGATCCGCAGAGGACGACGGCAAGACAAGCTGGATCCATGGCCAAGCTGTCAAAGCACTCTCTCAGCTCCGCGAAGAACGATGCGTTCATTGCATTCGCCTTGTCGGGACGATTGATCTCCACCTGCCACCAACAAGTGGGTCTTGGACTGAAGGAAATGTGTAGGTTACTCGTAGGGTGCGTGCGGAGGGTTGCAAGTTACAACGCGGGGGTCGGGTGAGAGAGCTGTTGTGATTCTTCAGCAGGCGAAAGCGCCCAAATCGCGGGATACACGTGAACACCAACTCCAAGGCACTTGTATGGCTTGCCTGCGTGACTTGCCTGCATGACTTGCCTGCATGACGGCGGTCGCTGGCTCCGTAATGGCAAGTGTCCGGAAATGGTCGTAGTTCAACACAGGAGGCGTCCCTTCAGCGAGAGCTCTCTTGTGTGTACGGAGAATTGGTGCAGGCGGAAGACGCTTGGGAATTCGATGCAGCACATGCAGAAGCGACATCGGTCCTCTCGAGTCCAAAGAAGCAGTCACCAGGAGTATCGGATAACCATGCGAAGCGCCGTCCTGTAGTTTTACACCTTTTCAGCTCACACAGCTCGCACCAGCTCGCCAGCTTGGCCTATTGTCTAGGTGTAGCGGCGTAACCGGTCGCTTTTGATTTCGCCGCTTTGAAGATCGTGGTGGTACGCACAGCTACAAAGCTGCTGGTATGTAGCTGCGAAATTCGCCCTGCGTGGTAGTGGTGCCCCTCAAGGGAAACTGTTTGGTAGTGGTTCATGGCTCGTTGCGGTTGCACACTTGTCCCTTGAATACAAGATTACCTGCCTTATAGCAGCTATGACGGACCGATGTATAACGAATGAAGCACAAGGCAACCCCCCCCTCCAACAACAGCAGTACTACACCCGGTGGTATCTTCATTAATTTGTTTTGTTGTTATTGTTTCTCATTGTTGAAAGCAAGCCGACGAATATCGTCGGCGTTGCTAGTCCCAAGCTTTATATTTTTATTTTAGTCGCGTGTTGCGCGTGTGCTGACACCACGAACGGGAAGGACCTTAATTAGCCGACACACTACGCAATAATGGTCGTGATGGACGCGGGTACGCAATAAAAAAACAACACATACATCCGATCCTCGGGAATCACGAAATGCAACGTCTACATACACACGGTAGGCACTCTGTCTGTCCCTTTAACACGGTACGTACTGCTTTTGCCTACCACTCACTCTCGTCCTCTCGTCCGCATCAACAACAAACAATGCAACTTGCCGCACAACAAGAGCCATCCCTGCAGGAAAAGCTGTACAAACAAGCAAAAAGCAGCTCCTGCTGCGGTAAGCTGCTGCTGTATGTACCATTTTTCAGCACGCACGAACAACAGATACAGCACAGGCGAAAGAGCTGAGTCTGCCTGTCTGTGTCTGCGTCGGCGTGAGTAGGGGTGGGTGTGAGGTATCGATAGAGTAACGACCGAGGATGTTTTTTTATGTTTATTCTTCTTAATATGACACAACGAATCCATCTCCATCATAGAAAAGAGTCTGAGACAGATTAGCAATGAATTCATTGTGTATGGCATCTCGACGAGTATCGTCGCGTTGCCTGTCTGAAGCTTTCGATTTTTGCAGCGGGTAACAATCAAGGTAGACACCAAGAAGATGCCCGATGAGCACACAGGAACCGGGGGACCCCAAAATACAAAAGCATGAAAAACAAAAGAAAGAAAGAAGCGAGAACAAACGAGTCAGACGCGACAGGCTTCAGGGAGGAGGCAAAAGAGCGCATAGAAGAAAAGCACCGTCGCCGCTCGCTCCGGACCGCTGGAAACTCTCACATAGCACTACATATGGAGCAAATATTAGGTAGGGCCCAAGTCCATTGCTTGGCATAACGCCCATCGCTTCACATGCAGCAGCCGGATGCACGGGTAGCCTCTTACTCAGCAAAAAGCGAAACGACTGCGGTTGGTTGACGTTCGATGTTGTTGGGACCCTACCGGCGAAAGGCGAGAGAGAGAGAAAGAGAGGTAGACAAAAATACGAGAGCGGAGAGAAGACAAGGCATTGACTCTCTCGAGAAGAGAAGGCATTGACTCTCTCGAGAAGAGAAGGCATTGACTCTGTCGAGAAGACACTCACTCTCGTCCCTCTGGCCCGCCGCAGGCTGTCAGACATGATGTCACGTTGTGTATCGAACGGCGATATCCGATGTCGGCTCAGCAACAGCAAACAAGCACAACAACAAACAAATATAGTCAGTCGCCGTGTGCGAGCTGTGGACTACTATCTTGTTGTAGGAAGTGAGAACTAAAAAGAGCACGACTACATAGCACCACGGACGAACTATTATCGCAATACGCTTGCCGTCCGCCATAGATGCGCACCGCTGCACGAACGAGCTGTTGGTTATCATACCTCACTACGTAGTATCTAAGATTGTGCTGCCATCTAGCTTACCTATCGCTCAAATTACGACTACGCAGCAGACTCAAGGCAAGGAAGCAACACGCGTGCCGATGCATACCAACCATGCATGCAGCAAAACAAAACAAGGCGGACCGTCTGTTGTTGTTTGTCTCTTCAACTGACTGTGCTGCCGACAACGACACTGGAAAAAAGTAGGAGACGCGCATCGCCTACGCGAGCAACGCGTGCAGCCCAAAAAAACAGAGACGATAACCTTACGACCTTTCTTTTCAGCACATTCCGAGCATATACTGCAGCAACCGCAAGTATGTGTACAGCAGCAGCCGCATGTTGTGTACAACAACGGTCACTCAGGAAGAAAATCACAACAACAAACAAACGCAAAAAAAAAAAGGTGGTGGCGCGCAGCACGCAGGACCCTCTTTCGCTTTGAACCGGCCATTCCCATGGCGAAACAGACAAGGTACAGCAGTGAAGGCCGACTCTTGCCGGCCCCAGGAGGCGGAAGCTGCTACAACTCGGGGACGGGTCATGATTTGCGATTGATTCCTCACCGAACGGATATCGAACGATGACACTACTGTTTCAACTAGCTTCAGAAAAGCTTCAAAATTAATTGTGAAACTTGCATAGAGATGGCAAGTAAACACCCCGTTCCAAAGAATATCTGTCGTTGATTTTTATTGACTTGCGGACCTTTCGGGGCCAGTTTGTTTTAGCGTACCTCTTTAGGGTAAGTTAGCCTGTGACCACGGGAATCGACCGCGTCAAGTGTTGGATCAGTACGCACATATGAAGGTACTGGGTAGAGAGAGATCTGAACGGTTTTTAATGCGAAGACAACAACAACAACAACAACAACAACAACATTTAAAACTGAACTAATGGGTGGTGGGCGGATGACCGGCGGACCCCAAAAAGCAAGCGGAAAAATAAAATATAGACTATGTTAAGAAAAAAAAGAAAAAGAAGAAGGGACGACAAAGACAAGTGAGCCAGACGCGACAGGCTTCAGGGAGGTGGCAAAAGAGAGCATACGAAAACCACCGTCGCCGCTCTGAACCGCTGGAAGCTGTCACATAGCACAGCATGCAGCAAACATTATAGGGGCCATGCCCCCGTTGCTTCAAGTAAAGAGGCAGCGCCCATCGCCTCACATACAGCAGCCGGGTACGTACTACACAAATAGCCTCTTACTCAGCAAGAAGAAAAACGATTGCGGTTGACGTTCGATGTTGTTGGGACCCCAACGGCGATAATAGGCGAGAAGAGACAGGTGCTACTACTACGTAGATCAACAGAAGAAAGCGTAGAGAAGGCATTAATTAACTCTCGAGACCCTAACCGAAGACACTCACTCTCGTCCCTGTGGCCCACCGCAGGCTGTAACGAACGACGACATCCGATGTGTGCTCAGCAACAACAAACGCAACAAACCAAATATAGTCGCCGTTTCCGAACTAACTGTGGAGACTCTCTTTCATCACTTGTGGTATGAAGTATGAAGTGACAACGAAATAGAAAATGATGACGAGAAGCACCACGGACGAACTATTTTCTCAATACGCTTGCCGTCGCGATAGACGCGCACCGTTCCACGAACGACCAGTTGTCAAACCTCACTACGCAAATAAGATTGTTGTCCTGCCATCTACCCCTTATCGCTCAAATTACGACTACGCAGCACACTAAAGGTAAGTAAGGCAGCAACACGCTTGCGATGCTTTACCACCCATCCATCCATGCATGTAAGAGAAGAAAAAAAAAAGGGTATGGCGGACCGTCTGTTGTCTGTATCTTCAACCGTGCTGCCGTTGCTTTTCTTCATGGATATCGGCACAGAGAAAAAATGAGGAATGCGCATCTCCTACGCGAGCACGGCGTGCAGCCCAAGCGACAGAGACGATAACCTTATGACCTTTGCAGCATCTTCCGAGCATAACAGCAGCCACCGCATGTGTACAACGGTCACTATAGACTAAGGAAGAAAATCACAAAATCACTGGTTATCGCCCCACAGCGAGCGATAGCTGCTCAAACGACTGTGAGAGGTCTTGAAATCGTCTCAGCTACCCAGAACTGCTGGTAGTTGCCGGAGATTTGCAGGTACGTACTGCTTTTGCCTACCACTCTCGTCCTCTCGTCCGCACATCAACAACAACAATAAATGCTAATTTTCGCACCACAAAAGAGCCATCCATGCAGAAAGTTGCAACAACAGAACAAAAGCAGCTCCTGCTGTATGTACACAGAATGTCCAGCTGTGTGCTGAGGTCGGTCAGCATCTCGAGAGAAGCGTAGCCAGCAAGCAAGGCTTGGCGCGGGACACGAGAGAAGCAAGCAAGGCTTGGGGCGGGCGGCGAAAAAAAGAAGACGACTCTATATAAAAAGATCTGTAAAACGAAGGGTTGGCGCGGGCGGCGAAAAAAATGAAGACGACTCTTATACAAAAAGATCTATAAAAAGAGGACCCTCAACGACAAGTCAACCAATCTGGTCGTTCCGATGTGACGATGTAACGCAGATCTTCTTGTCGACGGAGAAACTGGTTATCGCCCCACAGCAAGCGATAGATGCTCAAACGACTGTGAGAGGTCTTGAAATCGTCTCAGCTACCCAGAACTGCTGGTAGTTCTCGGAGGTTCGCAGTGTGGGCTGAGATCGGCCTTTTCGACCCGGTCGGGCAAGGGGTCCGCTATGCTACTGAAAACTCCACAGACGGAAAAAAAAAACTTTTGATCGACTGAGACCCAAGCTAGAGCTTGGGAACTACGAAACCATCTCCATCATCTGATCTCCATCATAGAAAAGAGTCTGAGACAGATTAGCAATGGATTAATCATAGCGTCACCTGTATTTTCAATGTGGTACGCGTATGCGAAAAAAAAGAAGACGACTCTATAAAAGGAGGACCCCGAACTAATAATAATCTGGTCGTTCCAATGAGATCCTTTTGTCGAAACTGGTTTTCGCCCCACAGCGAGAGATAAGCTGCTCAAACGACTGTGAGAGGTCTTGAAATCGTCTCAGCTACCCAGAACTGCTGGTAGTTCTCGGAGGTTTGCAGTGTGGGCTGAGATCGGCAGTCCTCTGTCTCGTCCGCACATCAACAACAACAATAAAACGGGCAAGGGGTCCGCCTCTTATACAAAAGTATCTATAAAAAGAGGACCCTCAACGACAAGTGAACCAATCTGGTCGTTCCGAAGTGACGATCTGGTCGTTCCGATGTGACGATGTAACGCAGATCTTCTTGTCGACGGAGGCACTGGTTATCGACCCACAGCAAACGATAGCTGCTCAAACGACTGTGAGAGGTCTTGAAATCGTCTCAGCTACCCAGAACTGCTGGTAGTTCTCGGAGGTTCGCAGTGTGGGCTGAGATCGGCATTTTCGACCCGGTCGGGCAAGGGGTCCGCTATGCTACTGAAAACTCCACAGACGGAAAAAAAAGACTTTTGATCGACTGAGACCCAAGCTATGTTTTGTTGTTATTGTTTCTCACATTAGCTCTATAGTCCACAAAAATGGGGAGCCCGTGGTCGCAAAAACCCATACATGTAGGTCAAAATGTCATCACCATCATCAGCGCGTTCTCTTTGTGTCGCACACGGTACTTGTTTTGGAAGTCAAAATGTTATCACTGGACGCACCCACATCTTGGTTGCTACAATGCTTCGATGAAGGCACATACGGAATAGGCAGACAAAGGAGACCTAATCTTGCATGTCAGAGCTGCGCCCAACCAATACCGAGACCTCTTGCTGTAAGTACAGCGAGGGGAGGTGGGGGGGAGGGGGCAGGGACAGAGATGTACTAGACAGAATACTCCATGTCCTGTACCCCTATCAATCGATTTCTTTCATCTACAAAAATGCATACAAGGGTCGCCCCCCCCCCCCCAACCAAAGCTTGGAGACTCAGCGGGTCATTTTTCCCGCTTGTGCACTACTCT